GTGACTTACAGAAATGTGTGATCTTCAAGCTGGCCATGAGCTGGACTTAGTCTGTCAGGAAATAGAGCAGCCAGGAAGAAAAAAGGGCACAGCTCTGCCTTGGTCCTGCTATGCCTGTTTCCAGCGACTTGGGAAATGCTCCAAAATCTCAAAGGAGACAGACTGCAGAGGCCTCATGGCAAAGCCACCTCCTGCAGCAGAGGACAACCTGCTTCCCTATATCCTTTCCCCCAGGGCACTGCTTGTCCTGTCATCCCTGTCCTTTGCTCCATCTTGGAACATCCTCCTCTTCCAGAGAGGTTTGTCCTGCTCTCAGTTCCCTCACTAACACTTTACCACCCCAGAGGTTCAGAGACAGAAAGATGGAAGGAACAGAAAGAAGGACAATGTGGAGAGAAGGCAGTGCTGCAAGGGTAGTGTCAGCTCAGTCCCTGCTTCTGTACTGCATAATTCTAATTATTTCTCCTTACAGAAGAAAGCGGTCCTTATAATATGAAAAAGAAGTGACATTTTGGGAGTTAGGTTGGGGGCTTTGATTTATTTGAGGTTTTTCTTAAACGTAGTCTGGGGAAGAAATTTTATAAGAATAGAATATATATTGTATCTCTTTAAAGACTTTTACATATGCAAATAAAAGAGAGAGATTCCAATTTAACTTTAAACCAAAAAAACACCAGCAAACCAGTTTTGAATGCAGTGGCTCTCTAAGGATAGGTGTTGTAGCCCACACTTAGCTTTGGGTATCATGTTTCACCCTGTTGCATTTCTCTGCAGGATCACTCTCCATCCCTTAGAGAGAAGGACCCTCCTGCAGATGATGACTGAGACCCCAAAGCCAAGCTCCTGCCCCAGATTATCCCTGCAGTCTGTGTCTCTGCATGTCCAGAGTTGGAGGTTCCTTCTGATGCAGGACCCTGAGTTATTGTGCTTAAAGGCAGCAGGTGTGATTGCATTACAGTGCTGGTGTGATGCTTTCCAAGTTATAGGCTGTCTAAAGGAATTAGAAAGAACTGATTTTTTTTTTTAGGAAGAGTCATTTAGCCACCAGACACACATTAAAAGTGTGCTTTTTTATCATGCCTTCAGAAGCATGACTACCAAATATAATTATGAACACAGCAGTACTTGAAGTCCAAGTCTCTTTTTAATTGCACAATGAAAAATTCATTTTCAAGGAGCAGATTAATAAGTATTGCTTTTTTAGCAAATAATTTTCACTTCCAATTAAAACATGAAACTTTTTTTTTTCCAAATCAATTTGCATTTTATTTGCACACGTTTTTATATGGACCAAACCCAAAAGAGGTTAAAAAGAAATCAATACTGTGTGTGCAACATGACAAAATTGTGATATAACACTGACTCAAAATAGAGAGTTCTTTGCAGACTTACTCTCTGTTGTTATTTTTTCTTCAGTTTGGCATAACTAGATTTTCTTCCTCCTTCTCTGTCTACCCCTTTCAAGTATTAGATTTCTTCCTTCCTCACCTTCCCCACAAAGTCAAGAAACAGTTTGTTTTCAGGTCTGTTTCAAGCCTCTGAACCTGCACATCAAATAAACCAAGCTAGTTCCTCAGTGGATGAAAGATGGAGGAGAAATTATTAATAAGCTTCTTATTGACTCAGTGTAGCTTCAACAGGAACCCCAACAGTTTATTCTGTTTTATATTTGGAGATACATGCAAGCCTATTCCTGTGCTGCCCCTATCCAATGATGGTGATGATACTGCAGTAAAGTAAAAGGATTCAAATCAAAAGTTTTACACTGCTTAAAACAAAAAGAGCTTTATCCTTTAAATATGAAACATTCTCCATAATAATAAGGCACTTAAATGTAGGCTTTCTTTTGATTGTTAAAGCAGCAATGAGTTCAGCCAAATCCCTTACTCGGTCCTGGAGAGTTGGTTTCCATATTACCAGGACACAAATGCCAGCTTAAGCCAGCAGGTGTTCAGGACTGGTTATTGTAAGAGGAACTTTAGAGACTCACAGTGGATCTCACAAAAAGATAATACCATTCTCCCTACTTTGTCAGCAACTTTATTTCCCACTGCAGCCATGGAAGCTGTTTGCTGGAGGTTTTTCTCCCTTGCAACAGAACCTTGGCGTACACACTGGAGTATTTTGGTGGAATGTCTGAGTCTCTGAAAGGCTTTGGTCTGACTGTGTTCATGCACCTTTTGTTTTCTCTGAATATTTGGTTCCCCAGACTTACCGGCATGAATGTTCAAAATGAATTTCAAAGATGCATATGCATGTCACCATGGGAACTGAAGGCTGATCTCAAGCAGCAGAGCTGCTGCTGGGAGGATTGTGTGCTTTATCCACTTTGGGCATGGAAGCAGTGCCATGTGAATTATCTGAATAGCCACACAGCAACTGTGGTGGTTACAACTGGCACAAATTCCTTTGCCACTGATCTGGTGAGGGTAAGAATATCTCATGACTGTGAAATGATCTTAAATTACAGTGGCTGAAAGAAGTGTATTTTGTTTGTGCAAACTATTAATAGAATAGAAAGCTAAAATGAATATTTTTTGCCCTTATTTATTTGCTCGGCTCAATCTCGGTCTTGAATCCTCTGTTTTCACTTGTTGGTATGTTGGCTTTACAACTTTATTTCTACATTATGTTTGAGAATTGTGTAAGGGGAAACATCTATATACTGCTTGATGGAAGAAAACATTTTCTTTTAAAATTACTTTTGGTTGTAGGATGAGAAGCCAGTTGTTTCACTTTTCAAGATATTAGTTAAGTTGTTATTGTGTACTAAGGAAAAAAATGCTGCACTGAGCCAAAAGTTTCACTGTTTTATGGTTTTTTATAGTAGTCCCATGCTTTGTGGCAGCCACCATAAGCTTAGATGCTTCACAAACCTCTGTACTAGTTAAACAGACTGTAGGTCTGTAAGAATACTCACTAAACAGAGTCAGTGTCATTAGTTTATACCCACAATATAATTCCTAAGGTAGCAAAGAAAGTTTTTTACTTAACTAATATATTGCTTTTTGAACTGCCTTTAATTCATAATTTCCATCCATCAATGCCGGTACTGCATCCCTCAAACTGATGAAGTCAAAAATTATGAAGGCTTGCAGTAATAAAGCAATACAGGAAATGTTGCTAGGCTTTGTAGTTTAGCTGTGTAGTAATTTATTCAGCATCACAGTTCTGTAGTTGAAACATTGTTCTGGATTAAGTGCTTTCATCCCAGCTAGGTGAAGTGACAAGAATTTTTCTTCCCCTCTCTAGTTTGAGGAAGGAATAGCCTTATACTGCATAGCCCTTATGGTACCTCAAAGTGGGTGAGAGAAGAAATGGAGTGGGAGATTGCCCAGCTTTCCTGAACTGGCACCTTTAAAGCTGGCTGTGGGGTACAAGCTTTCCACAGCTTCAGTGTTCACCTGGGGTTACAAAAAGGAGTATCACAAAAGGGCTTGAATTTGGGCACACCACAGGTAAAACAAAAGAGTAATTACTCCCTTCTCAGCGAAAAGAAATTAATCATTTAGCATCAAATTAATTGTTAAAGTACTTTATGTCCATTAGGTTCTTTTCTGAGCTAGTTTTAAAGATACAATGAATATGTTTCAGACTGCACAAAATGCAAATTGTGCCAGTTTCTGGCAATAAAAGTAATGTTTTTCTATCCTTTACTGTTTGATTTATTTCTAGCTGTTTTGAGAAATTCATGCAGTACAATTTTGGTGCTATTGCCTGCTAAAGATTTTCCCTCCTTTCCTTTTATTGGCCCCATTTCTCCCACACACAAATCCACAAAGCCACAGATGCTCCATTACAATGATGTCAGTCTTGCTACATGCTCCAGCTGTTTGGTAGGTACATTTATAAAGTTCAGCCTTTTACATTATGCCATAAATGTATATTTCATGTATAAACATAAAGTTAACATATTGCAGATCACTCTAAGTGTAATTTTAATGGAGGTTCAGTAAGTTTAAAAAATACTGAAAAGCATTTAATCTTTCCGTTGGCAACATTTTTATAGTAAGTTTTCCAAATCTTTTTTCTTAGGCTAGGTTTAAATATTCCCTGCCCTCTCTGCTATTTCATCTTCTGTGATCTTTGGAAAAAGCAGGGAGTTATTATAGTAAGACAATATGTATTTTAAAGAAAGATGTCTGAGGAAAAATATGTTTCTCTCCACATCTTCTTGGTACTCAAACCCTCACTTAGCATTCTGTACATTTACCAGCAAACCACGCTGCAAAACACCTAATTCTTGGAATTTCCAGATTTCAGTGATACTCAATATGGCCAATATGCTGCTGATAGGACGTATAAATTCTAACAGATTCTTTTAAAATTTCATGAAGAATTGGGTCTGAGCCTTAAAGACATTCTTTGTATTGTGTCCTGAGTTTCAAAGGAAAGGCTAAATAGTGTCCGTTTGACTCTGCCTTTTGCTCCTTTTCTCTTTGGTGTGTGCTTAGGGGTTCAGCTCACTGAAACTCTGAGCATCATTGACTGGCGCCCACAGGATCCTTCTCAGATCTGCCCTGGGTGCTTTCCTTCTTACAAAAAAGTCTTTATATTTTTGCTCTCCCTAGGAGTTGCCTACTTTGTCTTCATTTGAATGTGGTGCTGAATTATCATTATATTTGTACCAGATATTCATTATTCTAAAATAAATAGCTTTGGAAGATTTGGAGGCTTAATCTCTGTTTTGTTGGCTCAGTAATAAAATGCCTCTCAAGAGGACAGATGAAAGCTGAGATCAGGAGTTGCTTCAAGCAAGACCCAGAGTGCACAATGCCCTAAATACAACTGTAGAGACTCGAGTTTGGGACTGTGAGCTATCAGTGTGTGGCTGCAGAGGAAGGAACCTTCATTAGTGTTGTGGATCTGTCCCATTGCAGACTGTAAATACATAAAGGTCTGATAAACTCCTAACAAGAACCAGTGGCTCAGAAATGCTGATAATGTCACCATTATTTGTTTATTATTTGTTTATTATTTGTTTTGTTTTTAATTTTCAGGTCTTTTGTTATCCAGCAGATCCCAAGTAGCAACCTCTTCATGGTGGTGGTAGATAATGAATGCTTCTGTGATTCTATCCCACCAATCACCATGGCACCTATAGAAATAAGATATATCCTTTTACTTACAAACTGGTCAGAAAGAGATTCAAGATGCAAATATTGAAAAAATTCTTATCATGTAAAACTTGCATTGCATGACATCACTTGGATCCTATGTAGCATAAGGTCATGGTTATCTTCAGACAGCTGAACATCTTCAAATTAGGCACTAAGCAAGTAATTTTATTATAAGAATGGACCTCATTATATTGGAACTTATATAATCCTTCTAATATAGATATCTATTTAAGGTTTGAATGGAGCATTGAAAATGTTTCAGAATCCTGCTTTCCAAAACTACAAAAATTTAGCAAAGTAAATATATCACTTTATTTTTTGGTTGCCCCACTTCTTATTTTTGCTGTTCTGTAGTTCAGGTAGTTCAGGATTAGTTTTTTCCCCTAAGTTGGAATTTGTCAAAAGCAGCCTGCAGTGTGTTTTTATTGCAGACTTATGGGAAGACAGGTCAGCAATGTAAGTGCACAGGTGCTGTTGAAAACACAGATCACAGAGAGGAAAGCACTAGAATAATTTTATTTTTCTTGTGGGGACCACACATATCACCGTGGGGTTTTAATGGAGAGGAAAAAAGGAGCTGAAAGATTTTCAGTGTATTCATTTCAAAACACTCCCATGAGAATGCAGTGCTCAGAGCATCTCTCCTTAACTGCCTTGTACATAATGAATCCCTCAAATGTGAACGGTTAAAATCTCAGAAGATAAGAAGACGTCCAGAGTCTTGTCACGGATTTCACCCTGAAGTAAGTTTCTGTCTACTTTTCCTTTCTTTTGGACCCTGGTAAATTTTTTAGTTGTTTAAAAATAATTAATAGGAAAACTATCTTCCAAAATGAAATGTTGGGAAATATTCGGAAGATGGGAAGTGAGGGATATTTTAAGTGTTACAAGTCTTTTTTTGTACTCGTGTAGACAATGTCTTGAGTGTCTGCTTTTTCAGACTGGTTTGTATAATGTCAGAGAACGTGGTAGGATGTGAGCCCTGGCAGCCAGGCATATCTGAGAACTTACTCTGGCTCAAGCAGTGAGCACAGGATTCCTTGTTAGAGATGGCTGGGAACTTTGTGCTGTTAATGTTCGCTTCAGTAATTAGCTTCAGTGTCACACCTGTCATGCTATAGTCATTATGCTCACACATAATGTTGCTCGGGAAGGACAGTGACCCCTCTAGTACATACATTTACTGCTCTGTGTTCTGCAGAATACTCACACAGTGCCAAGGAGAGCTGATAGGGAGCAGGATGTGATTACAGTGGCTTGTCCAGCATAGGTTCATAGACATCTTTTTCACTGTGGAGTTACTTTAATTTCTGCTTCTGATGGTGTAATGCAGTGTAGAACAAGACCTGAAGTATAAAGTGGAGGGGATGGTGTAGTGCTTGTTTCAGTCTACAACCTAAACTTGTTCAACTCAAAACATGTACTTATATTTAATTTATGGGCTTTGTTGTTTGCACCACTGCTCTTATGCCTGTGTTTGCTAAAAAATCATGTCTCATAATTGACTGTAGAGGCTTGTATTTATTTTCCTTTGTTGTTTTATTTTCTTTAGGAAAATGCAAGAGAATGTGGTGGTGTCTCAGGCCTTAGTGCTAAACCTTCTCTTGTTCTTCTTCTTCTGCTATTGACGATTTTCTCCAGGTGACATTGACTGATGTGTTCAACTGGCATGCTAAATCATGGATAAACTGTGAACTGGGAAATGATGCAACATAGAGGACATGAAATATAGTCAGAGCATCAGCATTTCATGATTTTAAACTGTTGGTGATATAAATTCTTAAAGATATGTTGAAAAAAGATTTATCTTTTTACTTTGCAAGTCATGCAGATGTGAATTTGGCATATGGCAGTCATGATTCATCAAAAAAGGACTTGGTAGATAGAGGTGACCATTGCTTTGTCCCATTGAAAACAACTTAAACTGTGTACTTTTTTCAATAAAGTATATTAAAATCACAGTTTCAGAGTGTATTTTAAGTATGCTAATATATTTGTTCAAATAATGAATGATGGGAAGAAAATAAAATAAATGGATGATATTTTATTATGTTTTTAGCCTCTTTCTGAAAAAATTCAGAGAAGAAATGGGGTCTTGACTTTACAATAATGCAGAATAGTTTTTATTAACAAGTTAAAGAAACACCTATGTGTGTATGAAGCTGAGCAGGTAATACATGGTGCTGAATTATAAAGAAAGTTTCTGGAAATAGCTATAAAATATCTGCATTAGAAAGTGAATCAAAGCCTTATTAAAGCCTTGGTTCTAACTTAGGCAAGCTTTGGATCCAATTGGTTGATTTGGCTGCAGATGGCAAAAATCAAATACTTTTTATCTGAAGGAGTAGGAAGATGTGTAGAGTAGCCCACATCAAAGGGTGACACTGTTCTGCTGCTGTCCTGCCCGCTAGATCTCAGGCAGGAGAAGCTCGTGATAAGGAAAGTGATAAGCAGAGAAAGTCTCACTTGCAACACATCTGTGTCAGCAGAACCCATTATTGCTTTTCATGGAGTGTCCCTGTTGGTAGGCAGAGATCTAGACCAGTTTGTTTTTATTCCAGGCCTTCCATTCTTTGTAAGGGAAATGAGGTAACGAAGGTAAGCATATTCCTTTTGCAATTGGCAGCAAAGTCCCTGCTGTGGATATATTTGCTGAAGATTTTGATCTTTGAACTAACTTTATCAAGGTATCAGTAGTCTCAGTTTGTCTTTGGAGTTTTTTATATTCCAAGTATAATGCTATCAAATTCCAAACTCCAAATATAATGCTACTCCTAGCAGAATGCTATCAAAGGATAACCTGCCCTCCTAACAATATAATACATTAAATGCAAAATAAAATGCCACTGTTCTAAATCTGGTGCTTGGAGACTGCAGTTTCCTGGCTAGGTGTAAGTTTGCTTTCAGCCTTGGATAAATGCTAAGCAGATTTGCTGTGTATCTTGGTTGGGAGCAGGGAGCTGGGCCACTGAGAGGGGCTTTGTTTTAAAGGATACTACCCAGCTTGTAAGGGGAAGAACTAGTAAAACAAAATTTCCACTCCAATGCTTTAATGGGTTCAAATGCACTGGTACTCCCTCTGGTTCTGAAACCATACAGGTCTTTATACTCATAAATCTCTTTTCCTCATGTCTTCTATTTTTTTGGAGTGTTTTCCTAAAGACTTCTCTGTCCTTGCTTATTGGTCTCAAAATCTCTCACTATGGAATAATTTTCCAGCTGATGTTCAGTCAAACTGTTGTCCTAGTGACATGCTCTGCTTGCTAAGCAAATTGGGAACTCAAGGCATTTTCTCCACTTGGGCTGACATGGATATCCTGCTGTTCTTTGCTTGCTTTTTCTCTGAGCCCCATTCCCCCTTACCGTCCATCATTGTCACAAAAAATTAATGTCAGTACTTTATTTATAAAGTATTTTAGTTTCTGATTCTCCTTCTAGGCTTCCAGAATTCACAACACTGCAGCCTCATAACACATTCTTGTATCTGATTACATTCTTCTTTAATGATACTTAATAGTTATTGCCAATACAATACAGGTGATTTTCCTTGTTAGTAGAAAGTGGGGAAAAGCATCTTTCTCATTAGAGCTATTGAAAATCTCTGCATACAACTGTCTGATGTGTTAATCATCATTGCTTACAAAGAAAGGAAATAAATTAATGGAGAAAGTTTATTTCTACAGCAGCTAGGTGAAAATCCATAATAGTAATTCATCATTCATTTTGGAAAGAGGTGGGTGGTTTTTTAATTGCAAAGGAGCAGGGAGTGACAAGAGAGATTAATGTATGACAGTCTAAATTAATATAGAGAAAGATATTAAAATATGAGTATGTAAATGAATATTGTTCACAGAAATGTGGCAGTTCATTTTCACACAGTAAGGCAAAGTTATGAAGGCAGAATGCACGGATGTACCCAAACAAGTCACTGTGTGAAACAGAGTCATCTAACTCAATTGGTAAGTATAAGAACATTTTTATAAGTTGCCATTTCTCTTATTGAAGCTAACTTTTTTATTTTGTATCTGTTCCTTGGAAGTTTCAGCTGCAGTGTGAATCCAGGTTGGTAAAAGCCCAGTCAGGAAAGAGGGACACAAGCCCAAGGGACTCCGGGGGGGTGTGTGTGCTCCAGCCAGTCCCTTCTCCACAGGGAATGGCTGCAGCCGGAACAGCCTGGGCTGAACACAGAAATGGTGGTTTTGAGTTCCATGGGACAGAGTTCTCTGACAGAGGCTGGTTGAAACAGATTTCCAGAAAAGCTGATCTTGTGCTAATGCCTTAGCATTTGCTGGTCTCTGTGTCATTAGCTCTGAAGGTGTGAAGATACCGTGCCATGAAGTGGGTCCGTGCTGCCATTCAATAGCCTGTGGCATAGAAGGTTATGGAATTGGTCATAGAAGGTCATGGAATTTGATTTCATTACCTCACTAATCTGAGATGCTATTCCTCTTAAATACTAAAATTATTATGCAAGGTCTGATGCAAAGTCCATTGCACTAAATAGCAAAACAAATACGTGTGCATGTGTGCACATACAGCTGCATATGTGTGTGCTAAATATATTTTTAATACACGGGAAAGTCAGACATTTTCTGTATCTTTTATCTCCCTGAATCTGGAGACAAATCCAAGGAGAACTGGGACAACTGTACAGTCATTTTCTGCACAGCAAGAGGCAGAGCTAAAAGCTTTAGCTTTTGCAGGGCTTGGATCTATTTTCTTCTTTACTCTCTTTGCTAATGGCATTGATTTGCAACTTATTAGCCCCAGCTGCCTCCTCTTCCTTTAATCTTGATAAAGTAAAAGCTGTCTGGGGGCTCGGGGCTGGCCATGGACACACCATTTTCTAATGGTTTTGTGTGGGAAAACTGTCCATAACTGTCAGTGCTGCAAACACGCCTTTAAAATCATGCAAGCCAGAGAGCCTCAGGCAGGTTTCCACAGCTGTGCTATCTCCTCTCATTGTTTTTGTGACACTGAGACTGCCTGACCCACTGTGTTTTGCTGCCAGGGCCAACTCTGCAATATGTGTGTTCGGTGACACAGGTGGTTGCCCAGGGCAAGAAGATATTAAAAGCAGCAGTAATTGTTTCATTGCCTAAATGGCTTCAAGAGAGTGTTTCAGTTTTCTTCTGATAGCAGCAGCCCCAGAACAAGGCACTGGCCTGTTTAGCCCTTGGAGTTCACGAGGCAAAATAGAAGTTTGGCTCGGAAGGTTTGTGGCTGGAAGCCTCCAGTTATTTCCATGTGTTTCCTGAGCCCTTTATAGCCTCCGAGGACTTTTATATCTTGGGACTTTCAGGGCCTCAGAAATTCCAGCTCATACAGATTTAATGTAAATAGGCACTCACAATTGGAAAGTTTTCTGCAGAAGAGTGCATCAAAACCTTTCACCCGTGGAAAATATTTATATTTGATTTTCCTATTTGATTATTCTTTTTCCCTGAACTGCCCCAGATACTCCCAATAATATGCAGCTTTTTTTTCTGCTTGTTCAAATCCTTCCCCATGTATTTAGCTGCCTTGTTATTTATCTGGTGTATAACCACATATTCCCTGTGACAGGCCCAGCTCCCATGTATCTCCTGAGAGAAATGGTTCCCATGTACAGAGTCCAGAAGGTCTCACTGGAGTTTATCATGATCCAATCACAGGACAATTTTCTTCTCTCTTGTCTTTAGCCTCTAACCCTTAAGCTCAGATCATATTTCTTCCAATATAATAATATTCTTGCTGTAGTTCCTGGGAGGATTTATGTCCTCTTCAAGATTCAGTCCTGTGTTTCTTCCCAAGAACAGTTTTTGGAACTGGATGTTATAACTTGGATGTACCAACTCAGAGTCTATTCCTGTGATGCTCTGAGTGGAAGGATGTGTCTCCAACTCTTCCAGACTTCTTTCCCTTCTTCCCAAGGTAACTGTGGGTAGCTCAGCAAATGTTGCATTATTGTTTGTACTTCAGTACAAATTATTTTTGAAGTCCACAGTTCTGCCTAGCAGATGCTTTGAAGAATTTCAAAGCACAGTGTTATTCTCGGAAGGACTCATTGATTGTTCTGGCATTAGACATTCTTGATTATTTTCTCCTAAGTATCATGGTGTCTTAATTAAGAGTAGCCAGTCAAACTGGCTTGTGGATTGATCCAGCCATCCAAGTGATGAGAGGCTAAAACCTTAAGACAATTTCCTTTTCAACAGTTTTAGCAGATTTGATTGCTCATCACTGTGTTAGGAATAACCAGGTAATTGTGTTTGTGTCACATTACCCTCTGACACCTCACCAGGTGTCAAAAGCTCACATTTGTTCTCTGCTCTGCTGCTAACACTTTCTGGCAGCAAATGGGTTGTGTTGACGACGTAGAAATTTTCAGGTAAAATTGACAAAATATTGTGGAATAGTATGGGGAAAAAAAATCAATGCAATATCACAAAAGTGGCATGAAAACAACTGTGTTCTCTGTGATATTTTCCTCATTAATTGCAAGTCTTTTGTTTTGATTAAATGGAATTAAGGCTAAATTTCCAGTCTGTCATGTCACAGTGCTGTGAAATCCAAGATGCTTTTGAAGAGTTGAGCTCCAGTTCATTCAAGTAATGCAGAATTTGGTTATCTTCTACTTGAATTCTTTTATCAAGAGATTATAAGGAGTTGACAGCTAGTAGGGCCTCTGTAGGATCAAGCTGGAAAGCTGTTTTTTTCATTCCAGATGTGGTCTTGAACTGCACTTACATGTGTTTAAAGCAGCCTGGTAAGAAAAGGTTACACTTGACAATTCTGAGTCAGATTTGAACCTTAACACCAGAAGTTCAAGTGGTTAATGCTGGGTTTGTTTGACTATGTTAGGATTTAGTTTGCAGCTTTAACATGCTGGGTATTTCACTTCCAGGAGAAAGGGAAGATCGGATTTCAGTTCATGGTGAGAAGTGTTTTGAATCAGCTATTTAAATGTCTTAGGCAGAG